GGAAGGACTGAGGGGGTAAAATCCCCAGGAACTGCTCCTGCTCCCCACCCCCCACTCCAAGTCTGCCAGGGGAGAAAAGCCTCCTCACGCAGCTGCAGAAGGATCTGATGTGGAGCTGGGTGGCAAAAGGGGTGTGTGCAGAATTGTTGGGTGGCTGGGTGGGTAGAACTCCTGTGGGGCTGGGCTAGACGTGGGGGGGGGCACAAAATTCATCGATGTCGGCATGCAGGGGCGCAGAATTGTATTTTCCATGAAAAATGAGCAATACCAATTGTCACCCACACACATACACTCCATGGGCAGTTCAAAAATCAGAGGACAGCTCCCAACACGTAATTTTTTCTCTTTAAAAAAAAATCGTGATTTTGAAGCCAATCTCATGATTTTTTGTGTGTGCAACTTATGATTTGTGAAGGCTTGGGGATGACAATTCTGTAGTCAGACTCATCCGCTGTCTTTAACATGCCTCTTGGTGTCTAGAAACCTCCCCAGTGAGAGTGTCTCCCCTCAAAGGCCCTAGGAGTGGTACTGGAAATTTCAGGTGATGGCGTGGAGCAGGTACCTCGGCTCCCAGATTTAAGTAAGCTCTTCTCTTAAAGACAACGAAGCAGCAGGAGCTGCATCATCACTTCACAGGATCACGAGCAAAAAGAAGCAGGGAAAAGTTTTTAAAACCTCTAAGTGACTTCGGCTCCTCATTTCCATTTTTAAAAAGGACTTACTTAGTCCCAGATCCTCAAAGGTATTGAAGCTCCGAATTATCACTTATTTCAGCACTAGGGGGCACTGTCCTGCAAGAGGTAGGAAGGGTGTGTGTGTCAGATTTAAATGGGAGTTCGGCGCCTAGGACCCATAGGCTTTGGGCTGTGGGAGCCTAAATCCCATGGGATTTTGAAAATTACACCCACAATCTGATTACATAAATAGACTTTTTTCTGCCTGGTGATGGTAGAGTTCTGTAATCCCAAATCTCTGGGCAAGGATGTGTTCAAAGTTAGGAATTTCCTGAGACAAAGGATGTCCCAGTGGGTAGGTCTCTAGAGGATAAGGAAGGATGAGGTTGGGTTGCAATGCAGCATGGATAGGGAGGAGATCAAAACTAATCTAGGTATGGCCCAAAAACGAAATGAATACTTTGCCTCGGTTTTCAATAAGGATGATAATATGATACAAGGGCATGAAGGCAGGAACGCTGATGGAGATGAGGATATACACATGGAAATTACCACGTCTAAAGTGGAAGAAAAATTTAAAAGTGCTTAACGCATCCAAATTGGGAAGGCCAGCTAATATCCATCCCAGAATACTGAAAGAACTGGTACATGAGATTGCTAGTCCACTAGCAATGATTTTTAATAAATCTATGTATTCGGGGACAGTACCTTATGACTGGAGAATAGCTACTGTCGTAACTATATTTAAGAAAGCGGGGGGAAAAGTGATCCAGGCAATTACAGACCCATTAATCTGACCTCTATAGTAGGAAAGGTTTTAGAAGAAATTGTGAAGGAAAGAATATTTAAATTCATTTAGGTAAATGGAAAAGGGGCTGTAATGCAATCGTTTACCAAAGGTAGATTGTGCCAGACTAACCCAATTTCCTTCTTTGAGACAATATCTGATTTTTTAGATAAGGGAAGTGCAGTACATCTAATAGACTTGGACTTTCAGTAAAGCTTTTGTCAAAGTACCACATGGGAAATTATTAGTTAAATTAGGGAAGATGGGGATTGGTTGGTACAAGCATTGTAAGGCGGGTGAGGAACTGGATAAAGGGAAGAAGGCAACAGGTTGTGCCAAAAGGTGAACTATCAGACCGAGGGAGGTTACTAGTGGAGTTTCTCAAGGATCGGTCTTGGTATCAGTCTTATTCAATATTCTTATTAATGACTTGGCACAAAAAGTGGGAGTGCACTAATGAAATTTGCTGATGGCACAAAGTTGGGAGATGTGATCAGTACAGAGGAGGATCAGAGTATTCTACAGAAAGATTTGGCTGACCTTGAAGACAGGAATAACAGAAATGGGATGAAATTCAATAGTACAAAGTTGAACGTCATGCACTAAGCGTCTAATAATAAGAATTTCTACTACAAACCGGGGGCTCATCGATTGGAAGCAATGGAGGAGGAGAAAGACCTGGGAGTGCGGCTCGATCACGGGATGACTCTGAGCCACGAATGTGATGAGGCTGCAAAAAAGACAAATGCAATCCTAGGGTGTATCAGGCGAGGCACTTCCAGTAATGAGAGAAAAGTATTAATGCCATTGTACTAGGCATTCGTAAGGCCTCATCTGGAATACGGAGTGTGATTCTGGTCACCCATGTTCAAGGAAGCTTCATTCAAACTGGAACAGGTGCAGACAAAAGCTACTAGGATGATCAGGGTTTGGAAGGGCGATCTTATGAAAAGACACTAGAAGACACTGGTAAGGAATGGTGTCCCTAGCCTCTGTTTGTCAGAGGGTGGAGATGGATGGCAGGAGAGAGATCACTTGATCATTATCTGTTAGGTTCACTCCCTCTGGGTCATCTGGCATTGACCACTGTCGGTAGACAGGATACTGAGGCCTTGGCTACACTGGCGCTGTACAGCGCTGCAACTTGCTGCGCTCAGGGGTGTGAAAACGCCCCCCCCCCGAGCACAGCGAGTACAGCGCTGTAAAGCGCCAGTGTAATCAGCACCTGCAGCGCTGCACGCTCCCTCGCAGCGGTGCAAGCTACTCCCCTCGGAGAGGTGGAGTACATACAGCGCTGCAAGAGCTCTCTTGCAGCGCTGGCGGCGTGACTTCATTCGCGCTTCACAGCGCTGCCGTGGCAAGCGCTGCCGTGGCAGCGCTGTGAATTCCCAAGTGTAGCCAAGGCCTGAGATGGATGGACCTTTGGTCTGACCCAGTATAGCCAATCTTATGTTCTTATGAGCTTGGCCTTTTCGTTTAGCAAACAGAAGGCTGAGAGGGGATCTGATTGTTCTCTGTAAAAACACTGGGGGGGTAAATACCAGGGAGGGTGAAGAGCTATTGAAGATAAAGGACAACGTTGGTGCAAGAGCAAATGGATATTAATTGGCCATGAACAAATTCAGGCTGGAAATTAGAAGGTTTTTATCCATCAGAGGAGGCAGGTTCTGGAACAGCCTCCCAATAGGAGTTGTGGGGGCCAACAACTTAGTTATTGTTTTAAGAGTGAGCTGGGCTAATTTTTTAGTAGGATTGTATGACAGGATTGATTGTGGTGGTGGGGAGCAGAGCTCGGCAGCCCTGGGGGCCGATTCTGTTGCAATGTTCCCAAAATCTCCTGTTTCAGGGCTTCAGCTGGTCAGGAAGGGAATTTTTTCCCCAATGTAGTTTTGGTTGGTTGGGTGGTTTGTTTGGGCGTATTTTGGAGGTGGCGGGGTTGTGGGGGTTTTTTGGTCTCCTTCCTCTGAAGCATCAGGACTGGGCATGGCTGGAGAGGGGACACAGGACAGGGTTCTGAGGTGGCACCAAGCTTCTCTCTCAGTGCTTGGCTGGCTGGTTCGTTCACATGCTCAGGGTCTAACTGATCACCACGTGTGGAGTCAGGAAAGAATTTCCCCAGGTCAGACTGGCAGTGACCTTATGGGGGGGGTTCACCTTCCTCGGCAGTGTGGGGTGTGGGTCATATGCCGGGATCATCTGGGTGTATCTCATTTAATCAATTCCCTGCCATGGCAGGGACCTCGAGCCTTGGTGCACCTCAGTCCCTCCTAGTCTCTGTCTGTGGTACACAATAGTCTAGTCTCCTGAGGGCCATGATACAATTTCCATTGTAGGGTTTAGTGTGCAGGTGCCAGGTGATGCTGGTGGCCTGTGATACACAGGAGATCAGATTTTATCTGGTGGCCCCTTCTGGCCTTAAACTCTATGACTCTGGGCTGTGGTTCAAGTCCCTGTTCTGGCACAGATTTCCTGTATGACCTTGGGCAAACCACTTAGTCACTCTGGACCTCCGTTACCCATCCAGCCCATGGGGTTAAGAGCCCTGCCCAGCCTCACCGGGGTGTGAATTCAAACAGGCCCAGGTGCAGAGAAGGGCTGATAGGATGACCAGGAGAATGGAGAGCTGATCTTACTAGAGGAGACTGGAGAGCTTGGCTTGTTTAGCCTAGCAAATGCAGGCTGAGAGGGGATCTGATGGTTCTCTACACATACCTCAGGGGTCGGGGTTAAGAAGAGCTATTTAAGCTAATGGATAATGCTGGCCCAGAACAAATGGGGATAAACTGGCCAGGAATAAATTGAGGCTGGACATTAGAAGGCGGGTTCTAACCATCAGAGGAAGGAAGTTCTGGAGCAGCCTCCCAGTAGGAGGAGTGGGGACAAACACCCGAACTAGTTTGAAGATGGAGCTTGATGTGTTTACGAATGGGATGATATGATGGGGGATGCCTGTAATAGCAGGGGATTCGACTAGATGACCAAGGAGCTCCCTTCCAGTCCTGACCTGGGGTCCCACTGTGTTTTAGCATCAGTCAGTTCCTGAGGCGTAAACCTGCACTGGGTTAACTAAAGTGCTGTTTGCAAACAGAATGAAAACAGTGCTGGTTGGAGTGTCTACACTTATCTTGGTTCTGCTTCGTCCCTGTTCTGACAGCGGGAAGCTAACCCCAGAATTGCCAAATCCAAAATAAGAGTGTCTCCACGGGATTTTGCACAGGGTTAACTAAATTCAGTCAAAACGGTGCAACGCACATGTAGCAAAAGCCACACCCCCATTTGCCCATCGAGGATGGCATTATGGGTAGGGCTTCTGCCACTTGCCTATGTCCTTCGAAAGGGAGGTATGTTCTCAAGAAGGAAATCTTCATATTTCTTGTGCAGCCCTTGGTGTAAATAGTCTGGGCTGCGGGAATTTGTTACTTTTATACAGTTAGGGTTTTCTGCTGTTGAAACTCACGTCCCCTGGCTCAGGGAAAAAGGTCTGGTTGCCTCCAGGCTCCCAGGAGATGGGGAACAGCCCGCTGTAAAGATACGTGGGCATGGAGGATGCTAGAAAGGACGTTCGTGGCTCAGCCCTAATCTTCCCCTCTCTGAGTCTTTATTCCCACATTGCACTTGTAGGTTTGAGCGTTTCAGAGCACGCTCAGCTCCGGCTGGTGAATGGCTCGAGTCGTTGTGCTGGGAGAGTCGAGGTGCTTCACAACCAGCAGTGGGGAACCGTGTGTGATGACAGCTGGGACTTACTGGATGCTGGAGTTGTGTGCAGGCAGCTGGGCTGTGGGACGGCGTTATCAGCCCCAGGGCTGGCTGAGTTTGGAGAAGGGTCTGACCCCATCTGGCTGGCTGAGGTTAACGGCACAGGGACAGAAGCTGCCCTCTCCGAATGCAGAGCTAGTCCTTGGGGAGGCAAGAACTGTACCCACAGAGAAGATGCCGGTGTTGACTGCTCAGGTAATATTAACCCGTCTTATTGTGCAGGAGGTGGAGGCATTCTCCCCCCATAGTCAGTTCTCGCCCCAATGCCCCAGAGCAGCGCTGGGGCCGTTGTGCTGCTGGGAGTGGAGTGAGTGACTGTAACATGTCCAACAAAGCTGCCACACTGAGGTGTGCTATGGGGCCTCAGTTTCCCTTCTGGGTGTGACATGGGGATACTCATACATCTCCCAACTGGTGTTTCAAATGAAGTCTCCCCTTCTGGGCTTCCCACATCCTCTCTTGTCCCTTACCCCAGCATCACAGTCTCCTCTGGGACTCTGCTCTCAGGCTACACAGCCCCACCCCAGCCCTGCTCCCTATGCTGAGCTCCCACATGGTCACATGGTCCTTCCCAGCCATGTGCTGGCCTGGGACACCCCCCACTCCTCCCAGGGAAGTCATGTTCAGGCCCCTCAAGCGGCACTCCCAATGCTTCCCCCACTCTGGGGTGTCCCACCTTTGGTCCAGCGGGCCCTGTGTTCTCTGTACTCAGTGCCTCCACCTAGTGGCCAGGTACATGAAGGGCCAGACAGCCCCTGTGATCTCTAGGGCATTGTATGGAGCCAAGGGCCAGCCCACGACAAGGGGAAACCACGCTTCATCGCCGGGTAGGTTTGGAGCAGGGGAGTTGACAGGGAGGTGGGGTAACAGAGTCACCCCACCATGCCACAGAAATAACCACTGCCTGCCCACAACCATGCAGGCACAACACATGCTCCCCCACAGCCCTCCACCCACCTCGACTGGTCAGAAGCTCTGGGGGACAATGGCAGGAGGGGCCCTTTGCTGGGAGGTCAACAGCTCTCCCCACTGGATGCAGTGGGTCCCTGCCTGCTCCTAGCTCCTGTTGCAGAGGGGCTGTCCCATGCAGGCAGGTCTTCCACCGATGGCAGTAGGGGTGCTCCCAGAATGGGTGGGCTCTCTGGGCCCTGCAGCTGGTGATGTGGCTTGTTCGTTGGGCTCCTGGTCCCATTCCCATGGGCACGGGCATCTCAAGCACAACCAAGCTAGGCAGCCTCAATTCCACCCTGTGCTGCTGACTGTTGGGGGGCTGGGAGGGGCTTTTCACAAGCCCTCAATCTGGCTCCATACAATCCCCAGAATTCCCAGCTCTGTAACATGCCCATTGGGCCATACATGCACCTGAGAGACCAGCACTGTCCAAACCCCCCAGTCACTGCAGGGCAGAGTTAAGGTTGATTGGTGCTTACCTGTGACCTCCCAGATCATAACATGCTGAGGGTTCTTTGCAGTGTCACCTTAACACTGAATTTCCTAGGTTTAGTGCACTTGTTTGGGGGGATAATTACAGCATCCCCCTGGGGTGGATTTTACTGATTAGTCTTTTTTCTCCTGAGGCGTTTGTAGGTTTGACCATTTCAGAACACACTCAGCTCCGCCTGGTGAATGGCCCAAGTCGCTGCACTGGCCAAGTCGAGGTGCTTCATGACCAGCAATGGGGAGCCGTGTGTGATCACAGCTGGGATATGAATGATGCCAAAGTTGTGTGCAGGCAGCTGGCGTGTGGGGAAGTGTTATCAGTCCCAGAAAAAGCTTGGTTTGGAGAAGGGTCTCACCCCATCTGGCTGGATGAGATTAACTGCACAGGAACAGAAGTTTCCCTCACCGAGTGCGGGGCTAGACTTTGGGGAGACCATAACTGTACTCATGAAGAAGATGCCAGTGTTGTGTGCTCAGGTAACCCTCACGTATGTAATTTCCTGCATGGTGATAGGGGACCTGTACTGCAGTGATGGTGGTTCAGCAGGGGGCACTCTCCCCTCACAGTCAGCACTGGCCTCAGTGATCCAGCCTGGCATTAGTGGGCCTGGTTTGCAAAGAATGGGGTGGGTGAGTTCACTAAGGGGCACTCTCCCTTCACAGTCAGTGCTGGACCTAGGGGGCGCTGTGCTGCAGGAGCAGGACTGCAGCTCAAAGTCTTTCATTACAACTTTGACATAAAATAAAAGATAATAGTCTTAATCAATACTAAGTAGCAGCTGCCCCTAATGATTTTAAAAATAAACAATAGACCAGCAATAGAACATATAATAATATAACAATAACAGAATATTATTATGTCATATCCTGACTTGTCAGTGGTAGTAGTGCATATTAGTCACTTGTACTACCGACAAGTCAAAAAATAACATACAAATAATATGCGCATGAATATAACCTCATCAAACAGAATTTGAAACAAAAGTTTGAAATTCCAAAACAAAATAAGAAAATGGGAAGTTTCATGTTATCATCTTTATCAAGAGTCATTTTAAAATATTATTTTCTAAATTAATAAAGAGATGTACCGACATCCAATTGCTGTTGTCCTCATTAGCATATGTAAGAACATAAGAACAGCCATACTGGATCAGACCAAAGGTCCATTTAACCCAGTATCCTGTCTTTCAACAGTGGCCAATGCCAACTGCTTCAGAGGGAATGAACAGAACAGGTAATCACCAAATAATCCATGCCCTGTCACCCATTCCCAGCTTCTGGCAAACAGAGGCTAGGGACACCATGCCTGCCCATCTTGGCTAATATACAGCAGCATGGGAAGTGATACAGAACCCAAGATTTTTGCAAACAGGTGCCAACAAAGGCTAAAAATGGGAAACACGCCATTAACAATAATGAAAAGTGGCAATTTTTGAAGAGTTGCTCCACTATGGGTCTGACCCCAAGCTGCTGCAAACCGACATCGACATTTCAACAACCTGGCACATTGTCATTTCTAAGTTTCATTCATTGCCACTTTTTCATCCTTCCTTTAAAAAAATCATCGTCCAACACTCCTGTAAAGGTAGCAGCCATCTTTTCCTTTTAGCTCTGGCCTCGGTACAGCTCCCTGGTAATGCCTGTGGTGCATTGGTGGGTTTGACCATTTCAGAGCACTCCCAGCTCCGACTGGTGAACAGCCGGAGTCGCTGCACAGGAAGAGTCGAAGTGCTTCATAACCAGCAATGGGGAACCGTGTGTGATCACAGCTGGGACCTACGTGATGCCGGAGTTGTGTGCAGGCAGCTGGGCTGTGGGACGGCGTTATCAGCCCCAGGAAGAGGGCAGTTTGGACAAGGCTCTGACCCCATCTGGCTGAATGATGTCCACTGCACAGGGACAGAGGTGGCCATCACCGAATGCAGGGCCAAGCCCTGGGGAATCCATAACTGCACCCACGAAGAAGCTGCCGGTGTTGTGTGCTCAGGTAATATTAGCCCAGGTCATCCCTAGGGGGCGCTGTGCTGCAGGAATCAGTACCAATAGCTCACCAGCGAGCACTCTCCTCTCTGAGCCCGCCCGAACCCTAATGCTCTGCTGTTGCAGGCGGAGTTACTGTGGGGATGGAGATACTGCTTGGGCTTCATTGGTGAGCAGGCCCAGCCTGCACTCATGGGTGCTCACCATCCTCTGTCACTTTTACTGGACTCTGGGTGCTAACCCCATTTCTTTAGCTCATTGGCAAGTTGAGAAATTAATAGGTTTTAAAGTCTAAAGGACCATTACAGCCATCCCATAGAATCCTTCCCAGTCTCTCCTGCAGGGAGCCCACACTTCTGGATGAGCTATAGCTTACGTTTCAGAACGACACCCAGGCTCAATGGAAAGACTCCAGGTGATGGAGAATCCCCACCAGTTGTTTCAGGGGTTAATTCCACTCACTGGTAAAAATGCCCAGCTTATTCCTGCCATTCAGCTTCCAACTCTTGGATCTCATTCCGCCTTCCTATGCCAGATTTAACAACCTTCTGCTCTCAGAAATCTCTACCCCATGTGGTTCTTGGAGACTGTGATCAAGTCACCCTTTAACTTTCTCTTGAGCAAACTAAACACACTGAGCTTCATAAGTCTTTTCACTAGAAGGCAGGTTTTCCGCACCTCGATTCATCCTCGGAGCTCTTTTCTGAGCCCTTTCAACTTATCTTTGGAAGTGTGGACATAAGAACTGGACACAGTATGTAGTACCAGTCTCACTAACGCCATGTGGAGAGCTAATACCACTTCCCTCCTCCTACATGATATTCCTCTGCTTATACATCCCAGGATGGCATTTGCCCTCTTAGCTGCAACATAACACTGGGAACTCATGCTCAGCTGGTTCCCACCCTAGATCTTTTTCAGAGTCACTACATTCCAGCTGACAGCCCCCTCCCCCCATCCTGCAAGTGTGCCCTGCATTCTTTGTTCCTAGATCTAGCCGGCTGTGTTAACATGCATGTTGTTCAAATGATCCTCTCCGTACCAAGCAATCCAGATCCGTCTGTATAACTGACCTGTTCCCATCATTATCTACCATTCCACCAATAGTTGTGTCATCTGCAATCTTCACCAGCAGTCATTTTACATTTCCACCAGATCAGATTATTGATAAAAAATATTGAATATCATTGGGCCCAGAACAGGTCCCTGCAGGACCCCACTTCAGTCACCCCATTGGATGATGATTCCCTGTTACAATTATTTTTTGCAATCTATCAGTTAGACCAGTTTTAATTTACTATGGGATGCATTGATTTTGTAAAGTGCTAGTGTTTTAAGCTAGAATGTTTTGTGGAACTAAGTCAAACCCCAAACACATTTCTACATTCCAGTTCCCAGTTCCTCCCCCCCATTCCGGTGCCTTTATGTTGGGTAAAAGAGCTGGAGCAACATAAAGGGGCCCTAAAAACCCAAGTGCTGGCCCAGCACGGGGCGTGAAGAAGACAGCCAGATGGCTGTCTTCCAAGGACCCCCTCACAAGGCCTGGGGTAGGGGCATGCCGGGGCTGTCAAAGGTGGGACTGCTGCAACACACAGCGCTACTGACATTCTGTCAATGCTGCAGCCCACAGGGCAGCCCCCTGGAGGCTGCCATAACCCACATAAGGCCTACAACTGTCCAAGTTATTCCAGGGGTCTCTTCAGCCCCCAAAGTAGCCCAGAATGGGGCAGGCATAAAGGTGGCTTAAAGCCACCATAACCCCCACCTTGAGCTGTGCGTTCTATGCTGTGCGTCTCAAAGACACAGCTCAGAATGTGGCGCTGAGTATAGAATGTTAACACATCTACCCTTATCCAACAGTGTTGTGATTGCATCAGAAAACAATGGCTAACTGTCAAGATCTATTTTCCGTAAAGCCATGTTGATTGACATGAATTATGCTGCCATCCTTTAATTCTTTACTGATTGCCTCCTTTCCATTATTTTGCCTAGGATTGATGTCAGGTTATTCTACTTATAATTTCCCAGGACATCTCTTTTACCTTTTTTAAATATTGGCACATTAATCTTTTCCAAGTTCTCTGGGACTTGCCCAGAATTTGTTAAATATCAAAATCAATGGCTCAGAGAGTCCCTCAGCCAATTATTTTAATACTCTTAGGTGTAAGTTATCTGGTTCTCCAGATTTGAAAGCGTTGCGCTTCAATAGTTGCTGATTAACATATTACCTGGTCATTGAATAGAAAGTATTTCATTATTACTCTACATCATCCTTCCAAATACAGAACATTCTATCTTTTCTGCATCATGACTGACCATTTGACCATCACTATTAAGGAATTGGCCAATATCTTTACTATTTCATTTGTTCCCGATATATTTAAAGAAATTGTTTTTATTGTTCTTAACCCTAATAGCCGTAGAGTTTTCATTAATACCTTTAGCTTCCCTTATCAATTATCTGTGTTTCATAATTGATGATTAATAGTCTTTACTTCCCCCTTTTTCCTTTCATTGTCTGGGTGTGGGTGGGTGTGGGTGTAAAATATTGTATTACTTATTGTTGCCTTTACTTCCCTACTTAACCAGGATGGATCAAAGAGCCCAACCTTTGTGACTGAAGAATTGTGTTTACTTTTTAATTACCTTTTAATTACCCTGCCTCTCTAAAACACTGCTACAATTTTGATCAGACTTAGGATTCTCTTCACTTGCTGTATTGAATGTCTGTGGCATGTTTCTCTGCCCTCTTAATGAGCTCCAGGGGTGGCTGCTTCTCAGTGGAGGGCAACATGGCCCTACAGATGCAGTAGCAGTAGCTGTATGTGAGCCCTTTGTGACTTCGCAGTCAGAGAGGCACTGTCATCACTCAGTCATTTGTAGTAAAATGAATTGAAGAGAGTCTCTATTCACATGTTGTGTTTGTAGGTTTATCTATTTCAGAGCCTGCTCAGCTCCAGCTGGTGAATGGCCCACATCGCTGTGCAGGGAGAGTCGAGGTGTTCCTGAGCCAGCAGTGGGGAACCGTGTGTGATGATGACTGGGACTTTCTTGATGCCAGAGTTGTGTGCAGGCAGCTGGGCTGTGGGACGGCGTCATTAGCGCCACGTGAAGCTCACTTTGGACAAGGATCTCACCTCATCTGGCTGGATGAGGTTAACTACACAGGGAAAGAAGCTGCCCTCTCTGAATGCAGGGGTAGGCCTTGGGGAGTGCATGACTGTTACCATGTAGAAGATGCCAGTGTTGTGTGCTCAGGTAACCCTCACCCATGTCACATATGGCACTCGGTGGCAGGTACTGTGCTGCAGGGAGCAGAGCAGCATGTGTTACTCAACAGGGGCCATTCTCCCCTCTGAATCAGCCCTGACTCTGATGTCCCAGACTGGCCTGAGTTGGGTCTTTCCTGCTGAGAGCTAAAACTGAGGCCCTACCCATTGTCTCTCTCTTGCACTTTCCCACCAGTCCGGGAGTTAATGCTGGATTTGAATTCCAGGTGGGGTGAATCCATTTGCCTTCCTTCAGCCTGAAATCCTGGCATGTGCTTTCAGCTGGACACAGGATTCTCCTCACTTCCTGGCCCAACGTTCTTTTTTGCTTCAATCCCCAATGTCTAAGGGAATACTAATGCTGAGAGTCGCTGGGCAGGTCCCACAAGGTGTTGAGATGTCAGTGGGACGGGAGGGCTCCCAGTGTTTCTCAGGGGGTGCTCAACAACCTTCAGGGCCCAAATGCAGCCAAATTGCACCTGCTCTCAATACTAGTTTCCCATCAATCTGTGTCACTGGACAGCATATTCTCACTCTCCCAGCCCCCCAGCTGCCTGTTCAAACAGGAATTAGTTCAGGGGCATCCTGTGGCCCGTTTTAGGTAAGAAGTCAGACAAGATGATCACAATGGTCCCTTCTGGTGTTATAACTAAGGCTACGATTTAGTCACGGAGTTCACAGAAGTCACTGCTGGCCACTCCCGCAGCTCCCATATGACGTGGGTGGCAGGGTTCCCTGCAGCTCCTAGCTGCCGAGGGCGGCGTGGAAACCCCTGAAGACTCAGCTACCCGGGGTGACAGGGGAACCCCCAAGCTCGCGGGTGGCAGTGGTGGGGGAACACTCGAGCTCCAGGCCGCCAGGGGCCCCTGAGCTGCGGGTGGCAGGGGTACCCTGCAGCCCCCCAGCTGCTGCAGGCAGCTCCCAATCCCTGCACAGTTGCCCTGCTTCAGGCAGTCTGGGGACCCACAGATCCCCATTATGTCACAATATTTTTATTAAAAGTCACGGACAGGTCACAGTTCTGTGACTTTTTTTTTCCCCTGACCTGCCTGTGACTTTTAATAAAAATATCCATGACCAAAATCTTAGCCTTAGTTATAACCTATGGCATAGACCTACCTCTACCTTTCCTCCCACACCCCAGAGCCTGCTATATCCCTTGGAGTCTGGCTTCTCCGCTCTGCCCTGGTTCTGCTCCTGCTGGGATCTGCCCCAATCATCACTTGCATCCTGAAGAAAAGAGCCCCTGCCTTTCCTGAGCCCCTGAGAACTGTCAATTACAGCAAGGAGCAGGCTGGAGAGGACCAAGCGATGGGAGAGGAGTCGGTTATATACGCCAGTGAGTAACAGTCATTTATGGGTGGTTCTGCTTAGACATTCAGCTGGGTAATTCCAGCAGCAATGTCTCTGGTCAGCCTGAAAACATAAGTCTGAGTCCATGCCCCAGAGTCAAGGACACAAACAAACCCTGGAAATCTTTCATTATTTGTATCCACTTCCTTGAAATTGTCATGATCTGTAACTCAAAGGCAGCTTGAGCCATTCTTTCAGACTTTGCACAATACAATCCTTTCTTTCCCTTAGAGGTGAATCTGCACATTGGCTGGACTCACTGATTTTCCCAGGCAAAGCAATGGGCTGGGGGCATGAGATGTACAGTTACATGGAAGCAGGATGCCGGGATTGCAGCATGGTTCAGCTGTGAGGAGGGGGTTTTGGAATCTAAAACCAGACCTTAAATCTCCCCTGGCCCCGAGCAGAGACAGGATAGCTTAAAATCTGGCCTGTTTGAATCTGGGTCTACTTTTGTGGTTCTGGCCTGTCGCTCTCCGAGAGCCACTGTCAAACTGTCCCACCTCTGGGAATCAGAAATGATGCTTCTGAAGGCCCTGCTGTTGCTGTAGGATTTGTCCAGTATTTTCAGAGCTGAGATTCCTCTGCCACCCAGATGCCTCCCTGTGTCATAGGGCAGAGTGTGCTCCGCAGCTGCTGAGATGTCTGGGGGAATTATCGGAGGAAGCGGTTTGAGGATGAGCAGGACTCCGTGCCTCTGCGGTTGGTGGGGGGGAGGGTTTGCCAGGAGAATTATTGCTGTAATGATTTAGCTGATTCCATGGTGTCCTTGGCTCAGCTCCATTTCCTTCTCAGTCTCTATCCTCACCCCCCTTCACATTGTTTCATTCACAGATGTCCCAAGTCTTTTGGGCATCCAGAGACCTCAGCGAGAGATGTACTGACTAGGAGGATGCCAGCAACACTGGGCTGTGGGGGAGCCTGGCCTGGAACGGGGAGATGGCAGCTTCACCTCCTAGTGTCCAAACATTCCACCCTCCCTGTCTCTTGCACTAGTGCATGTGAGGGGCACATCCCACATTGCTGCTTCTACCCCCAGCAAGGGGAGGGCAATGCTTGCAGCATATGTCCTGACAGACCTTTAATGGCAGGGCACGTTCTGAACAGGACAACAATTTCATTGTTAATAAGTGTAGGAAACACCTGGAATAGCGTCTTTTATGAGCTGTGTCACCCCCTTGTGGTATGGTTGTGAGCTGGCCTGTGTGCAGCATGGGGAGAGACTCAGGGCATCTCAGCTGTGGGCCTTAAACCCAACCCTGGGAGTGACTATTCCTTTAGCTCAGGGAGTTGGGCTGTGATCCTGGGCCAGGCTGCTCTGACTTCTGGTCGACCTGGCTCCATGAAGGCAGAGCAGTGCTGGGGTCCCATCGGAGGTGCCTGTTGGCATACTTCTTAGCTCTCATATGTGTCTGAGCAATCGGACTGTGGCAAGGGAAGGGAGCATGCCGTGGGGCATCTGGAGCTGTGCTAGAACTGAGGGGTCACCTAGAACGGTTTTTAACCATAACCACCATTAAATGCTGTTGGCTCTCCATGGAGCCCACTAGACATATAAAATGATGGGGTCTAAATTAGCTCTTACCACTCAGGAAAGAGATCTTGGAGTCATTGTGGATAGTTCTCTGAAAATATCCACTCAATGTGCAGCGGCAGTCAAAAAAGCGAACAGAATTTTGGGGATCATTAAGAAAGCGATAGATAATAAAACAGACAATATCATATTGCCTCTACATACATCCATGGTATGCCCACATCTTAAATTCTGCATGCAAATGTGGTCGCCCCATCTCAAAAAAGATATATTGGAATTGGAAAAGGTTCAGAAAAGAGCAACAAAAATGATTAGAGGTATGGAACAATTTTCATGTGAGGCGAGATTAATAAGGGTATGTCTACACTACGAAATTAGTTCGAATTTATAGAAGCCGGTTTTATTGAAATCGGTTGAATACAGCC